CGACGATTTTGCTTTATTTTCGATTTTCCAAATGATTGACTTTTAGATTTTTCTTCTGAAATGAGATTGGAAGATTGTTTCCAACATTTTCTATTTCGATTGAAACAGGTTTTAATGACTTAATTTTGATTTCTTTTACAAGGCATATTCGAAAAGAGCGAAAAATAAGTGAATATTTTGTGCCACAACTTTTACATCAGGCTACATTAAATGGAAAATTACTAAGGTAATAATATGATCAATGATGATAAACTTTATCAAAGTTGTTTGTCACAACTGTATCATTTACTGTGTCTATGCTTCGAAAAATAGATGTTTGCTAAGAGAAAACAAGTTTGTTTTAGGTTTAGGTTTTCGAACACAAATAGATATAGAAAACAAAATCTTATTTTGATTGATAAACATGCTCTCAAGAAATGGATTAGATCCTTATGTTAAAAGTCTTAATCAATACCTTAGAGTTTGTAAGTAAAGATTTATTTAATGAGAAAAATAAATTTTCTTCTTTTTTTTCTACGATTAGATTATTGGAAACAAGATAATGATGAATTTAGTCAAATAAAGAAATTCAAAATTTCTAATCCAGGTGATTGTACATCTCAAAAAATCAATATGAATTTTCTAAGGGAAAATCATGTGTACTTGTTAAAATGAATAAAGTATAAAAAAAAAGACTAAATAAGAAAATAAATAAAATCATATTGAATTATAGATTGTTGATTTTGTCCCAAAACAAGGTTATGTATCAGAAGATGAACATGCATTTAAATCTACTCAATGTCGATCAAGTTCTAATGCTATTGCTGTTCATTGTTATGGAGAAATAATTTATTATTTCTTGTCTATGAAAAAAAAAAAAAAATCTTGATTTGTTTTCTTTTATTTAGTATCCAGCTGATGTTGATAATATTAAGAATATAACTTATATATCAGAGAATGGTCATGATAATAACTGTAGTTCACTTGAAACCAAATGGTTTCCTTATGAGCAAGAATATTGTTTTTATAATGAAAATTAGAAATGCCTATAATAATTGAAAGACACCAAAAGTATTAAATCTTGATCGATAAGTTCTATCAAACTGTGCCAAACTGATAGTTTATAAAAGGAAATATTTTTTTGTAGGAATAAAAAAAAACGTCAAGATGTATATCAAGCACCGTACGTATGGATTCAATTTAATCAAGTTAAACCAAATGTATTAATCAATGTTATATGTCGAGTATTTGATGCAAATATTAATTTTGATAAACAATCATCTCGAGCTCTAACACGTTTTCAAATATATATAAAAGATATACCAAAAAGTATATTATCAAGTTAAATAGATGAAATATAAATCAATGTCTTCTTTTATCAAATATATTCACAAGTATGGTTTAGACAATCAAAAATTATATTTCTATTTGCTTGTACTTTTTTTTGTTGTGCAATAATATAAATGCAATTTTGTGAAACACGATCTAAAAGGATTGTTGAAGTGTATAGGGGTAGAAATTTGGACCCCCGCCCTCCCCCACAGACGTGACAGACATCCTTAGCAACGACCTATCA